ACTTACCCACATATACAAACATAGTAAGTATCAAAATAATATAAAAAAGAAATTACCGACAAATGGCAGTGATAGAATAGCACATGTTAAATGAACAATAGAGGGTCAGCTTGCTATAGGAAAGACTTCAATATGGAATAGGATGGCCTCTAGAAGCATATAGCAAATACAGCAATGTGTGAGCTTTCATTATGGGTCTATCGTTCCATAGAAGGAGAGCCTGCTGTTGCAAAGCAAATGCAAGTGCGACAAGGGTTTGAAGGGCGGATTGAGGCAGCTAGACAGCTCCTAAAGATCCAAACATGTCGGGATGAGCAGCCACTCCATGGCGAATTTTTCTGTTGAAGATAATCATCTATGAGCAAGCCTGGTGGTTTGCGTGTCGTCATGAACAGGAAAGCATCACCTATTGCCCCGGCAATGGGGCACATAAACACAAGATGGTGTCTCTATAAATCTGAGCATTCGGTCCGCTTGGAAAAGACATGGCGGTCTAGCTCACTCAAAGAGATGCCACCCCCAAACAGACACTGCCCTTCCTATGCATCTCTTTCACGGATGTAAAGGGTCTAGGTTCTCGCATATCAATACGCCTACTTTCGCTTCAGAGAGAATTCATTGCTAAAGAGAACTGCCCTCCATTATCAGGTGTCAGGGACATGTGTCGTCCTGAAAACGGTCCCTCTATGGAGTGACATGAGAGGCACACAATGGCTGGTAGTATGCATACAGACCCTTTGTGAAGTTCTATGATCAGTGACGTGACACGAACTTAGGTGGCTGCAGCAAGGGAAGATCTAGAAGAGTGGTCCATTGCTGCGTGCACATAATGTCAAATGGGCCATCGGCACTTGTCGTAGCAGTGGCCATCTTGTGAACCCTAGATGCGGATCTGTGGTTTGAAATGCCCCCAAAGTCATGAACACGAAGGACTCACATTTACCATCTGGCCACTTCTGTTTGACTTTGTCCTGCCTCTATTGTCCTAATGGCTCTCCATCGTAGTTCTGCAGGCAAATGATACCTGGAGGTCATAGTTACGAATTGGCTATCTTAGATTTCTGATGTCCCTTTAAATTTAAATGAAAAATCATTTGGTTGCCCCAGTAAGCAATGCAGAATTCTACAAAAAATGTATTCACCTCGCAACCCATGGACGGTTGCACTACCATCTATATCAGTGGTGGTAGTAATGCATGCGGTTCTAAAATTCAAGGGTCACGTTTACGGTTTCTGTTTGTTGTGATTAATATGTGGAGTTTGCCTGTTAACGAAAGAGAAAGTGTTGCATTTTTTCAGAAATATGGTGTTTTGCCTACTAGTACAGGAAATAGAAAAGCACATTCCATGCAATTCTCTGATGTTTGTTTAAGTTTGTACATAGGTCGATGTGTACATACGAGAGCAGTGGTAGTTTGCTCTGCAATACTGAGAATTCAGAAATTCTTCAATTTTTTTTAAAATTTAAAACAGATTGCTGTACACATGGACAGAAGAATGAGAAAAAGTGTTTTATTATGGAGATTAATAGCATTTTTATTTTACTGAATTTGCTGCTGTTTTATGTAGGTTTCTGCATTTTCCCTTTAATTTACTGTCATTTTATGAAATTTTCAGCAAACCATTTTTTAAAATGGCTAATTCTTAATGTGTTAGGGGTGCTACTTTGGTAGACGGTTGCACGGATTTTGGTGAGCGATACGATTTATGGTAAACCCATTGCTAGACAAGTTATTTATGGTAACCAATCGTCATTTTATTATGCATAAATTCCGTGTTTCAAACATTATTTATGGCTTCTAAATATTAAAAATCAGTTTAATTTTGCATTTTTATTGAAATAAAAATTTTTAGTGTTCTAATTTTTATGTTGTGGATATGTAATAAAACATCCATTATTTTAAATTGGTTTTAATCTATAATTATATAAGTTTTAAATTTTATTTATGGCTGTAAATACTAAAATACAATTTAATTTTGCATTTTTATTCCAAGATTTATATGTATGAATATTAAAATTTTATTCTATTTGGAGAATCAGCTCCTGATGGTACAAAATATTGTGCTTAACGAGCTGTAATCAGCTCCTGATGGTTACTGAATATTGTGCATTACTGCGCCTTTTAAATTTTATATTCATCTCTTCGAATCCTAGATTACATTTTCAATTAAAAAGTTTTTTTCTGGTGGTACTTATCTATATCTAGAGGATAATACTCAAAAAATGTAATTACAATTTTTCTTAATAATTGTATACTAATTTTATTAAAAAAGGAATAACTGTTTAAAAATTGCACGTATTTATTGCCACATTTTTTTTTTTTTTTAAGTTAAATAATTATGTCCATAAACTTATTTGAGGATTTGAATCAAGAATATTTATTCTTTCAACATTGGTATGAGTTTAAGTCAATATCAAGTCAGTATATTTTAATTTTTTTAAAGTTGGTATGCTGCTTTAATTCGATATAATTTAAGTAATATTTTCCCCCATTAAAATTGCGAATGTGTTATTCATTCTCGTATATGAAAGTAATAATAAACTATTTAGTATTAACTCAAAGTAAATATTTGTTGATCTTTACAATATGTAACTGGTAGTTTGGCGACATTTTGGAGGCGATAAAGGTTACTACCTGGGACTTTGGTAATAATGTGAGCAGTACTCAGTTCCGATTACGCATTATTTTGTGTGAGGGAAATGAGAGATCATGGGATATGTCATGTGATATTAATGGACGAATTACGGTTCTTTAATCGGAAAAGGGGAGAAATCGGGAAAAAAATCTGGAAATTTTGTATTTGGCTTTATTCTGTGTTGTGTGAAACAGTGTTGGTTAATTTTTGGATTCCATGGCCGTAACTAAAGTGAATTCGAAATGGGTATTTAGTGGTATTGAAAAGAGAAGTAATAAATGTTTGTTTAAGGTTGTGCGAGATAGAAATAAAGATGTTTATTAAGTTATTTATTTTTACCTGGTACTTGCTGTGAAATATAAGTATTTTTTAAAGATCCTGAAACAGAAAGAAGAAAAGTTTATCGGACAAGTAATCAAGATTCTGAAGAAGATTAGGTAAGTTAGTATTTTTAATTACTGAGGATATTATTTTTATGCATTGTTCTAAATGTAAGGTGGAAAGGAATTTGGTATTATTGGGAAAATTGTTATTAGCAATGATTTAGTTTAAAGTAATTAGGATTGTAAGGTAATTTTTATTAATTTAATGTATGTGCTCATTTATATTTTAAGTAGTGTTTTTGAATTTAATTATATTTTAATTGAAATGATAGTTATTTTGTGAATTTTATGTTTGTAGGAATTTGGTATACGTTTTAGTTGAAGTAAACGTGCATGGAAATAATTTAAATATTTGACACTAAGTATTTGTAATGGCTTGCGGTATGAATTCGTTGGTGACGTTTATAATATAATAGATGATTTAGAGGTAAAAGTTTTTGGATATTTTATTTATTTTATATGTGGAAATGTTCATATTTGGAAGGGTAAATACTTTTTCGCGATCAGGTAATTTCATATATGTTCTTTTTTTTTACCGGTTTAAAGATTGAGAAAATTGTCATGTATTTTCGTGAAATTTTTCTAATTTATGAGAAAAAAAGCAGTGTACATGGATATAGTGAAGAGTGTGCAGCAATGCCATTTTTGTGCAATTCTGGGATGTTTTTTTTAAGTAAAAAATAAGTCGACGTGTACATGGTTTAGTGATATTTTAATTAAATGATAGTTATTTTGTGAATTTTATGTTTGTAGGAATTTGGTATACGTTTAAGTTGAAGTAAACGTGCATGGAAATAATTTAAATATTTGACACTAAGTATTTGTAAAGTTTGCGGTATGAATTCGTTGGTGACGTGTATAATGTAATAGATGATTTAGAGGTAAAAGTTTTTGGATATTTTATTTATTTTATATGTGGAAATGTTCATATTTGGAAAGGGTAAATACTTTTTCGCGATCAGGTAATTTCATATATGTTCTTTTTACCGGGTTTAAAGATTGAGAAAATTGTCATGTATTTTCGTGAAATTTTTCTAATTTATGAGAAAAAAGCAGTGTACATGGATGTAGTGAAGAGTGTGAGCAATGCCATTTTTGTGCAATTCTGGGATGTTTTTTAAGTAAAAATAAGTCGGCGTGTACATGGTTTATGTGTATGTGTTATTTTGAAAAACGCGTAAGGAGTATGGTATTGTGCACTTATTCCCAATTTTGCAGTGAATATTTGTCATGATTAAGCAGTTTTGTTTGATAAAATTTCTAGCATAAGTGTAATTCGGCTACTAGATTGTTGGAAGAAGTGTTCAGTAGATAAAAAGAAAAGAAACATGTCTTTACGGCGGCGGGGAAAAAAAATAGAGAGTTGGTTGCCAAATTTTCGCCAAGTTACCTTTATTTACATTTGCCAGCCATCTTAAAAAACGACATTTTCAACAAAAAATTAATGCATTAATTTTAACAGTATTTATTTTTTTAAAGTTTCGAATACTTTACTATGTGTAAAACATGTAAAAACAGCGTTTTTCAAGATGGTTGACAATTGTAAAATCCACGCCATCAATTGCGCCAACGTAAATCACCAAAAATCCGTGCAAACGTCTATCAAAGTAGCACCATGTTAGGTTGTGAAAATTAGTTGCCAATGAGTGAATTCTATGGGAAAGGAAGGGCGGATAATGTGAGATTACACATTTTTGTTTAACTCAATGAAAAGTAATTATATGGTCATCAAGTTTTACCAGTTTTTCCTATGGAAAATGCATCAAATTTTAACGAAACAATGGAACATATGGATCATATAAAACAAAGTAACAGTGAATGTTTTATTTTGAAAGCATAAAAGATTATATAGTTAGAATAATGTTGAATACAACTTACATGAATGAAGGCATTCAATAATAGTTGTGGCATCAATGTAATATCCTTTACATAAAACACATGTCAAAAGCTTATTAAGATCTGCTACTTTAATTTTTCCAGAGCTTTGCATAGCGACTTCCTGGTAGGTGCATACTAAAAATACAAAGGAATGCTTACAAATATGTACAGCAATGAGAAAATTTTAAAATAAATTAAAATTTTATGTATACACTTACAAGTTGCATTTGTTAACCTGCCACTTCAATTATCATGACAACTGATAAGCTCAAAGAAACAGACTAACCACTTTAAGGCAGTTTATATTGACATCATGATTCATACCTAAAAAAAAAATCACATGGAATAACATAAATTTATCATCTTAAAAAAGGCCTAGATGTAATAAAAGTAAAAATTAAAATTTCAGAGACAATGTTTATGCATGACAAAATTCGGGCATGATATGATAGCGTTTACAGTCATTGAGGTTCAGTCAAAATTCATTCTTTTTCTAAATATTTACGATTCAAACCACATATAATTATAACTACATTCATAAAAAAATTTGCAATACAATAAATGTAGAACATATATAAACCTATAAGTGCAATCACGGCATACACACAACCCCCCCAAAAAGGGGGGGGATGAAAACGTATTGCTGCATACAACGCTTGATATTTGTACAGCAGTTAGTTTTCAACAAAAGAAGTCTTACTGAATACAATTAATCCCCTTTTCACTTTCATTTAGATAAATATTTTCTCATATTCTTGGTATTTCAAAGTGACACATAAATTTTATTTGGGCTTTCAATATTTGGCTACATGTTAAGTACAATTAAAAAATTCAGAGCTGTGAAGATAGTTACTTCGCATGAAATCGATGCCAAAATATATGTAAAGTTTAAAATAGAATTCAATAACAATTTCTAACTCTCTTTAATCAAGCCTTAAAAATACAAATCTTTAAGGCTATTCTTTATACAGAAATATTAAACACCAAACTAAGGTACTCTTTTGCCAACTTTTAAAGTCATCTTTCATTTACACACCACTGCACATGAACAAACTGTAGTGTTAATTTTTGAAATTGATTCAGATATTTAGAAATTATTTACCTGTTGTATACATTTATTTACACTGTGATAAGCCTGCAAAGAGTTAATAACATATCACAGTAATATTAGATTGGTATGTAATAATAACCCTTATACTGGAAATTTAATTGCCTTCTTTTCTCTTTAAATACTTAAAAAAAGAATTAAAGGAGAAGCATCTGATTATTTAATACAAATTTGAATATTAAATATAGGGAAAATCTGAAGATTAATTTCTAATGAGATAAAAACAAACGAATTTATGCAAAGTTTTCTGCACATTTTGCACCGCGAATTTGATTAAAAATGCTTTAATGAGATATTTTAAAAAGTTTATTAAGAAATATATATATATATATATTGCACAAAACATGGAGCATAATTAATGACGATTTCTAAAAGAGCTCCAGAAAATATCTAATGTTTTCACAAGAAATGACATTTCAACACCATGCCTCAAGTATAGAAAATTCTATTGTTGTTAACATTTCAAGTTGCTGGTACAAGTTAACCGGTTCATAAAACTTGCAAAATTATAAATAAATAAGAGCTATACTGTTCTTACACAATCAGTATTTATGCATTTCAAACGTAAAATCACACAATACAGAATTCATGGATTTTGCATATGTAATTGTCATTTAAATCAGCTTACACTACACGATACATAATTAGAGTAAAACAAAGAACCTACTGTCAAACCTTTAATCTTAACCGACGCCATAAAATCATAACCGCTATCACCATTCAAATATCACGTGATAACAAAATCGACGATTACGATGTCAAACACTGATTGCTTTTAAAATAGTTTTTGGCCTTTTTAATAATATTTTTTTGTGTGTTTATTTATAAATAGTTCATTCAATTACAAATAATTTTCATCATTTCTAAAAATTTACAGCCAGCGGAAATATGTTATATTTTCTCATCACGGTATAATAAATTACTGAGGATGACTACAAATTAGTAATACAAACTAGAAGCTAGTCAAATGACTGTGAAAAACACAGAAATATAAACTTCCGTAATAGCCGTAATTAAATAGTAGAGAAGGAAATGTAATCTGTCATTCAAATTAATGAAGAATATATAAACTATGGTTAAAATATTTTATTATTAATAAAATCTTTTGTAGTTTTATAACGTTCGTCCTTACACTTGTTTTTGAAACATCTGGGAGACACTGTTTATAGTAAATGAACACAGCCTCCTCCCCTTTTGACTACACGCATGGACTCAATCATATTTTTAGGAAATTTATACTTTTCCTCTTCTTTCTATGGGTCCTTTTTTATTTTTTTTCCTACGTTACTTTTTAATTTTATTTTATCCCATTTTTTCTTCCTGGGCTTTTGAACTCGTATAAAGAGTACGAAAGACTTAGCGACTGCAAAACAAGACTTGTGTCTACCTTATCTGTCCGTTTGTTGGTCGTGTGTTTTTTTAAACTTGTCGTTAGTATGTAAAATTGAATGTTTTTTTTTTTTTATTTTGTTGCGCAGTTTGATATATGAACATGATCTTATTATTTTGATGTGCAAAACTGTAGCTGAAAGAACATCCGAAATTTATTTTTGATATTGGAAATTTATATATTGAACTCGTAATTGTAAAAGTGCTGCTGATCTTCAACATTGCAGTTGTAAGTGCATAAGATTCACTTATTAATTTTTATATAATATTGGATTATGATTTCTATTTGTTTATTAATGTGTATATTTGCGAGTCTGAGTCTGAAGAGTATAGAACAATTATTGATCACTAAATATTAGAATCAACGCTCAGGAATAGAGATATTAAGCTCTTTTAAGAGACATTATATACTGATACAATACACTTGGAATCTTCTATACTGATTTCATTAGTCAGCAATGTTTTGTAAAGATCCTTTGGATTTCTATTTATGCCTATTATTAGTTTAAATTTGAAACTTCCGTAAATTTTTTGGACCGAGAATGTTGTAATATATCCCCCCTCGTGTTTGTGTAATAATTTTATAAGCAATAAAAATGAATTACTACATTTTATTAGTGATATATATTAGTGTATTAGGAGATTCAAATTTATGTTCCATAAATTTCTGGGAGAACTATAGTATTATTGAAAAAAGAAAATTTTATGCCATCATTTGCAGTACCTTTTGACTGATTTTCACTGTATATCATATTTACTTGAAAATAAAACCTCCTAGATTTGCTCTGTTTTTTTTGGTTTTCTTATGCAGCGGATCCATTGGCGGCGATGCGTATTTATTCGCCAAGCTCACCTACGGCTAATCAGCCATGATTTTAGCGGTGCATGGTTAAGTTCCAAGATATTTATTGTATAAAATAGCTTAAAAATAATGTTAATTTTAAAATTAATAACAAATAAATCAAAAGTACTTAAGTTTTCTTCAGATGACTAGGAATCATTGATTTGTATGAGAAATTTGTGTTTTTTATTTTTGAATGCAATTATAATCCAAATTATGCAGAATTATTACATGGACAATGAGTTGGGTAGAGTAGCCTTTAAGGTACCCCTTGTATTATGGCGAAGTTGTTGTTTGATTTATCGCCAAGTTGTTGTTTCATGTATGGTAGCCTGAGTAGTTGAATGTTATGGAAACCCTATTGTGATGTATTCAGGTGCATGATTCTGGGAAATTTTGAATCATGAGATGTTTTCTAAGCGTTTTTGTGGTGTGTGTTGGTTTGATTCTTTAGACGGTAGAATGGCCGAATGTAATAAGATTAATTTGAAGTTTCTGTACGATTTGGAGCGAAAGGGAAAAAGAGCGTTAATTGACTGGTGTGTAAATGAAGGTTTACTTAGTAGCCATTATAAGTGTCCTGTACGTAGAAAGGATATGCATTTAGTTGAACGTAAAAACCTTTTAGATGCATTTGAATAGGTTTGTAGGAAGAAAGGTTCAGACTGTCACTATGTGAAGTGTTCGATCAGAAAGAGTACCGGGTTTGAAAAAAGTAATTTGAGTATGATTAATACTTTGATTTTTACGTGGCTCTGGGTGTGCGAAGTGAACTCGAAAATCATGGTAAGTGAATACAGTCACAAGTCGTTAATCCAGACTCGTCGGGACTTTGGCGATTCCGGATAATCGATTTTTCCGGATTATAGATCATCAGTTTAAATCTCGTAAGATGGCATGCAGAAATTCTAAAATTAAAAATATGAAACCGTAATTTATGAAATAAAGAACAATTATGATCTAAAGGGTATCAAAATTTACAAAAAAAAAAAAAAAAAAAAAAAAAAAAAAACTTAATACAGTCAAAAGTCGTTAATTCGGACACCCATAATTCGGAATGATCTATAATCCGGACCTCAAAACTAAAAACTTTCTGCGCATGCGCCTCGTTGACACATGCGCATGGGCATTTATGCGTGCGCGTAAGACCTTTTATGACTGCGCATATGAGTGTGCACAAGTGCAGAATACGTTTTCGCGTGCGTGTTTTATGTATAATGGACGTATAAGCTAAAATTATCTAATTATCTATTTCAGTTAATGTTAATGATTTCGTTGTTCCTTAATTTTCGAATTGGATCCGGCTTATTATTTTTTGCAGACTGTAAGAGCAATTTTATAAAAGTAAGCTTAAACTTTCGATTATATCAAGTAGAATTTCCGATATATATTTGTTAATATGTAAAGGATCTAAAGTGAAAGTATGTTTTGAAATCCGAAATCTGTTTATCAATTTCACGCTGCTCGGCGAGGGAACGCCGCGGCGAGCGCATAATGAATTGGAAGTTGATCTGTCAGCACTATCCTTATCTTCAGCACAGATGTTTTTATTTTATTTGGCTTATAATTCCTTACCAAATGTAGTATTTCATCTCGATATGCTCCATCTTTGATATGATTTAAAACAAGTTCCTTGTCATTATAATTCGCTTCCGATAGCGAAGAAATGTGACAGAGGTTATTGAAAACGAAAAAATTTCAATTGACAAATTAGTCAGTGTTCTTGACACAGCAATTATAGGACTTGAACAGCGGAACTTTGTAACTGAACAAGAAATTATGTCTGTTTAATAGAATTAAAGAGAAAGTATTATCACATGAAACGAAGCAAAACTTAAACAACTTACATTGAAAGAAATGTTTAATAAAGTAAACAAATAAATATTAAGCTTTTTCTTTTTGCAAATTTTGATACCCTTTAGATCATAATTGTTCTTTATTTCATAAATTACGGTTTCATATTTTTAATTTTAGAATTTCTGCATGCCATCTAACGAGATTTAAACTGATGATCTATAATCCGGAAAAATCGATAATCCGGAATCGCCGAAGTCCCGGCGAGTCCGGATTAACGACTTTTGACTGTATTTATTTGTTTACTTTATTAAACTTTCAATGTAAGTTGTTTAAAATGCTTCGTTTTATGTGATAATACTTTCTGTTTAATTCTATAAACAGACATAATTTCTTGTTCAGTTACAAAGTTCCACTGTTCAAGTCCTGTAATTGCTGTGCCGAGAACACCGACTAACTTGTCAATCGAAATTTTTTCGTTTTCACTAACCTCTCTGTCACCTTCTTCATGTCTTTATCCATTTTTTGCAGCAATTCCACATTTTATTTATTGGACATCGAAACATACTTTCGTTTTGTAGATCCTTTGGGAGCACCAGCATCGGAATACTATTTGACAAAATCGAAAGTTCAAGTTTACTTTTATAAAATTGCTCTTACAGTCTGCAAAAAATAATAAGCCTGATCTACTTCGAAGATTAAGGAACAACGCTATCAACATTAACTGAAATAGATAATTACATAATTTTAGCTTATACCATCCGTTATACATTAAACGCGCACGCGAAAATGTATTCTGCGTTTGCGCACACGCATATGCGCAGTCGTAAAGGTCTTACACGCACGCGTAAACGCCTATGCGCATGTGTAAACACGGCGCATGCGCAGAAAGTTTTTAGCTTTGAGGTCGGGATTATGGGTGTCCGAATTAACGACTTTTGACTGTATTTACTTTTGGTAGTGCTTAAATGTATAACATGTTTTTCCTTCTTTATGTTATTTTATTGTTTGGTTTAAAATGTATTTTATTGAGATTATGTATTTTTTGTTTGCCTATATTGTAGAATTTGGTGCTCCTTTGACTTTTTAAGTGAAAATATATCGATGTGTACATGGACAAAGTAAAGGGAGTACGCAATGCAAGTTTGTGCGATTCGGGGATTTTTTTAAAAGTGAAAATAGGTTGACATGTACATAGATAAAGTCAAAGGAGTGCGCAATGCCATTTTTGTGCAATTCGGGTATTTTTTTTAAGTGAAAATAAATCAATGTGTACATGGATACTGAGTTTGTGCAATTGTTTGTCTTGTTATTTTGGCTTAACGAGTCAAAGAATTGCATGAAATTGGTATCCATGTACCGCCAAAAATTGCCAAGTTTCGCCGAGGTATACCCTAAACTATACTTTTACCCAATGAGTTATATAATTAATTTTCAAATCAATTCGGCTCAAAGAGAATTAGATAATTTATAGTTTATACATGAAGGTTCTATTTCGCAGTGTTCTTGACATATATGTTTTTTTACACATACATTTTTTGATTTTCTGTCTTTTTTCTCTTGAGCACATGTAACATCTCCGGTAACATAGCTTTCTTTTCTTTGTTTGCAAATCTTCAAGAGAATCTTCATTGTATTCCTTGTGTTTCTGTTGTGATTTCAAATGAGGATCTAAAAGTGCAAAGGCCAAATCTGAAGTGCCTCCTATTCCTGAACTTCTTTGGTGGACTTTTAGTAGATAAAAGCAAGATCCTTGAATTTATGCCGGCAATATTTAATAACAAAAAAATATGCCCATCAGTTTGATATTCTGGACACAGAATAAGTGCCACCCATTTCGTCGACAATATCAACTGCTCCTTTTGTCATGTTATAAAACGTAATTACTTCAGATTTCTTCAAATCTCCCGTTCTTTCATCAATATGGTCATCATTGTGCATAGTTGACAAAAGGTTAACACATTTGTTCTTCTCAGCCATATAAGAAAGTAGCATTATATCCTTTTGAAACCACAAGAGAGTTGAGTGCTGTTCTCTATTCTTATTCAACACAAATTCAGGTGGGATAATCTTCTTATTCTTGCATATTGTTCCAACAATAGAAATTTTATTTTTCTGTAAGAAATTGGCCAATTCATAACTGGTATACCAACTGTCTGTGGTAATGTTTCTTCCAGAATTGTATAATAGAGCTAGGATGCGTTTTCCTTTTTCACAAGAACTATTGACTTTCTTGTATGGCCCATCTGGCTGCTGACCTGAGTAATTTCCATGTTGAAAGTATAGAAGGTTCTAAAATCAACCACAGTAAATATCTTTATACCATATCACAGATTTCTTAGGCATATACTGCCAGAAGGAGCATCGTCCTCAAAAAGGTTCTAGCTTTTCGTCCAAAGTCATGTATTCCCCTACATGAATATAATTTCTGACAATTCTGAACAAAATTTTCAAACAAATCTCTTATTGGAGCTAATTTATCACTCTTTCTTCCGAAATCATCGAATTGTAAGACACGAAGAATGAAAAGAAAACGATTATAGTTTATTTGTTTTACGAAAAATATCCAATCCTGTTCCATCAGTCACCCATAA